CGCACGATCTCCGCAGAGGGTTGCACTTTCGGTTGACGCTGTTCGTCCCACCCTCCGCCTTTAAGAGAGAATTTATAAAGTGGGGAAATGTTTTTTCATTAGGACATCTCCCGTGCTAGTTCACTTGCCTACTCATTGCATGCTTGCTTACTCATTGCATGCTTGCATACTCATCACTTGCATACTTACACTTGCATACTTTGACAGCTTTCGCTCTTCCACTTACACAGGGCTACGTGAGTTTAAGCGTGGTGAAAGTGTCAATGTCTAAGTGTGTCTAAGTGTAAGTGTCCAAGTGTCAGTGTTCAAAGGATTTCCCGGAAGAACCCTTCGCAATGCTTTCGGGAAAAAGAAGAAGAAGAAGAAGAAAAAGGCCAAGGAGAGAAAAGAGGCCAGACAAGGCCCAGTCAGATAAAGAAGAAAGTGAGGAGGAGGCCGTGGTCGACAGAGGGCAGAAGGGCTTGAGGAGCCTATTCGGTGGGACCTGTTGGGACCCCCGGCTGGAGGAGCGTGCCAAGCTGATGAGAAAGGCCCGGAAGCTTGGAAAGAAGGAGGGTCGTAAAAGGAAGCATTCCTCCAGTGACGATTCTTCATCCGGGAGTTCGACATCGGAAGAAGAGGGGTTGGCTGAGACAGGAGAGGGACTTTTCGCTGAAAAGAAGAGGGCCTTGCGACTGACCCAGCGCTACCCAGGATGTCTGGGAGCACAGACGATCGCTGGGATGAAGGAATCGCTATTGACTAGTAGCGGTACACTGCATTCCTTGGATCGGAAGTCATTGCCCCCGCTCTACACGCAGTACTATCGCAGCGAGCTGCATTCCTTGGTGTCCCCGTCGATGGGGCAGGAGCTCCTGACGATCAGCCAGACGGCTGACTTGCTTCTTCGAGGACATCCTGCTCTGGCGGTTGATCTGCTTTCCCAGCGCTTCAAAGCGCTGGAACAACAGGCTCGTGGAGCGCGCTGGACAGTTGCGCGTCAGCTGGAACTGGTGTCAGCCGACTCGGTTGGCCTCAGTCAAGGTGCTGAGGGAGCCGAAGCAGCTCGCTTGGCCCGAGAAGAAGCGAGAAATCAGAGCGCAGTACAGCGGCCTTACAACATGGGGGGAAAAGATGGAGGGAAATCAAAGAGCCGACCTGATACACCTGAGGGACGTGAGAAAGGAGACAGAGGAGGCAAAGGAAAGGGCAAAGGGAAGAAGAAGGATAAGCAATGATGCCCAATCCGAAAGATGAAACAACCCCCAGGTGTGATGAGAGTCAGGTCAAAAGGATGTTGAAGAAAGAAGGAGG